TATAGACTAGAAACCAATTTCAAAAAAAAATTCAAAGGGCTGTAACTTTTGAACTAGTAGCCCAATCTTGGAACTGTTTGAAATTATGGATTCTACAGGCCACATTCTATAAGAAAATTTTTTTTCCGGGGCGATCTGAGAATTTTTTTCGGGGCTCAAAAAAAGGCAGTGTATAACCTTCCTTTTTTACCAAAAATCGACTACACCAAAATTTCTCGGGAAAACACTTTTTCTTATTAATTTGGGTGCGTAGAATCCAAATCAATTAGTACTTTTTCGATCAGACTTCTCAATCAAAAGTTATAGACTAGAAACCAATTTCGAAAAAAAATTCAAAGGGATGTAACTTTTGAACTAGTAGCCCAATCTTAGAACTGTTTGAAATTATGGATTCTAAAGGCCACATTCTATTAGAAAATTTCGATCTGAGACAATTTTTTTTCGGGGCTCAAAAAAAGGCCAGGGGCGCACTGGCCCGGGGGGGCGGGTGGCGATTGCCACCTGGCCTGTAGATCATAATGGCCCGTTGGAAAGTATGTGCTGTATTTAGTTTCTTGCACCATTAATAAATTATTAACACGTTTCTCTAATATTGGGGTTGATGTTAGGTTGTTAAAAAATTCTGTTTTAATTGAAGTGTTTTAACAATGAATTTATCATTTTTTGTCGTAGCATGAAAGTGCTGAAATACAATGATAGGCGACGCACCTCGTGTGGATTGTATATTTTGTTACTTTTAATTATCAGCTGCAATTAAAAAAAAACTGTATGGTAATTTATTTTCGAGAAAGGAGTACTTTAAAACGTTTTTGTGGTGTACCTCAGAGCTAACCCCCCCCCCCCCCCGTAGAAGAACCGATTGTTTTCAAATTTCTAGACAGAGGATGCTTTCATGTTTCCTATAATGCCGGTAGTAGTCACTTTAATGGCCAACCAACTTGGTACTCTAATCCTACCTATCACTTTGGCACGTAACCGTAAGTTGGTACCGCATACCGTCTTCTCAAGTGGATTTGAACGCTTTTCCAGAGTTTCTAGAAGTTCAATGCTCTGGGGTTAAAGAAAAACCTGGAAGCAGGTAGAAAATTTGTATACGCTGACAGAATAAGACATTCCACCCTCAGTTTGAGTTTCTAGGCTGAAGCCCAAAAATGTTGGTAATGGCAGTAAAGAAGAAAGTACATCAGCAATTGCGCACAATTTTATACTCCACTCAAAAAATTCAAAATCCAAACAGGGCTGCAGGAATGCGCATGTAAACCCTACGAAAATTAACGAAATGATGTGTTGGAAATACAGGCAAGTATAAGCAGTGCAGTCCGTGCCATTGAACTCTATTGCGCTTCCTCGTTTATAATATGTCTTCTAAGACCCAGTTGATGCATATTCATGCATAAGTTTAAATAAATTAACTTTATCATCATGTAAATGAGTTTATTCAATTGTTTACCACATTGGAAAATTGTTTATTATAAACACAACCGTACTTAATTGATACTAATTCCACACTGGGGGGTGGGATCGAACTTGTGATGAAGCCTATTTCCGATCATTTTGATTCTTTCAACTAGACCTAAGCAGTTTTTATATACAAACACGTCGATGCATTTTTTGTTCATACAGGGAGTATAAAATATACACCCCTCCTGCGACGAAATTAGCTAGTTGTGAAAAAAAGTGTAATAATAGTGTTCCCCTCGCTGTATCAACCTAACTTCCATCAATCTTTACAACTACCAATAATTTTGAAGCTAAGTTATTAATATAAAAAAATTATTATTTTTGACTAAGTATAGTAGTTACTCGGTTCCTACAAGAAGGCGGGCGCAAATTATTGTAACACAACTTTATAGATCTAAATCGTAAATAATGATTAAACGTAGGCATCTACTAAAAAAATTAATTGAAGGTTCTTGATTCTAACTTGTCATAAGGTTATTAAAAAAAAACTTGTTAGAACTGGTCGAGCTATTTTGAAACCTTTTTTATAATACATAAAATTCCGTTAATGTAAATTTAGACTCGCAAACATTATAGTATATCTACGTGTGGGAATGGAAATTCATGCGGAAATGCTACATTCAATTCTAAGATTGTCTTGATTGTTCATTTTTACGTTTGCGAAGGAAGTAAGCATTATTACGGTCTGCAGTAAACGATTAGAAACATTTGTTGTGTTTTGTATCGAAGTACCTTTAGATCTATACACACAGGGTGGTGATTTCCGTGACGCAGAACAGGATTTACAATGCTATATACTCTAATTATTATAACGATCCTCGAGATTGTTTATAATTTTGTACTGCTGTCTGTCTGTTCGTTTGTCTGTCCGTGTGCACGATAATTTTGCGTAGAAACGTCCGGTCACTTTGAAAATTGATACACATGTTCTTCAGGATATATGAAAGGTCGCTATTGTTTTTTGGGTACGTAGACCAACGAGCCAAAAAGTGACAGCCCAAAAGCTGCTCAAACCTCCAAAAAGGGTTTCTCTTGTTACAAAAAACATATGAATGTCCGGTTTTCTGTGTTAATAAGTATTTGCGCAATCCCAATTTTTTTATTTGTTAAGATATTTAAACTAAATTGTGTATGCAGGTACCACAAATAAAAGTAATTCGAAAAATTTCTTTTACAAGCTATGCTGATCTGGTGGGACAGAATCAACCCCTTAAGGTATATTGTAAAAATGATGTATGTGTGAAGATCGCGAGGTATTCAGTTGTATCAGAGGTAAAGCGTATTTAAGTCTTTTGTAGATTAAAATTACAAACCCTTTAAATTTTCGGGCGCTTTGTACAAAAATTAGTGGTGCCATATGGATTTGGAAAAGCAAACCGACGTGGCTCGTTATTATGCTTGGTTCATTATTGCCGCTCTCTTCAACCGTTGATTTTGACCTATTTGTGGTGTTGGGCACATTTTTCGAAGACTAATATGATTTTTAAAAAAACGTAAAAAGTAATAAACGTCAAACAGCAGTGACAATTCAAACGCGCGTATTTGATGTTATGATTCCAGTGCAACAGCGATTTTTCAAGAAAGAAGTGCTTTTCCAGTTTTCGCATTAGAAGGTGACGATTTGTGGGCATTCGTAATTTTGTTCTACATCATAAATACAATTTACCCTGTCAAATAATATTAGAGGAGGGAACATTTGACCATTAGTATTATAATTTCTATGCTGCGTCGAAAAAATCCACCCGGTATAAAAGGGTACAAAATGATTGACACAGAGTATCGTTGCAAATTCAATTTCAGATCGTAGAATAGGTGGTAAAACAACTTTACACGTGCATACAATAAATTGGAAGTATTAAGTAACAAATGTGTTGCTCGCCTTTGTACTTTAAAGTCGTAACGGGTTCGTTGCGGTCGCTATTTAAAAGGTACCACTTTAAAAAGCACATTATATGCAAGATTTGTGGTTACGGTACTAGCGTGGGATTCTTTTTGTTTATGTCACTGTATAGTTAGGAAAAGCGACGAGAGCAGACGAGGGCCCCACGGTTGTGTTTCTGTCGACATGGTATAATCGCATACAGTTCTGCCATTCAACGGTTCTGCTGTATACACACTTGTATATTTTGGAAGTGACCAATTATATGTCTTTTCTGTAACACTAAATGCACTTCCCACTCCCTCTTCCGTCTTCGCACCATCTGTGTATATTATAATATAATCACGGTATTGATCTAATACGGTAACGTAAAGTAAATGTGCAAAATGAACAGTTTTAAAATGTCTACAGAAATAAATTTAGGAATCAAACGGTCGTACCTATATAATACCAAGGAATGCCATCGTACACGATTCCTTATACCAATTTCAAAATTCCAGTAGGTATATGGTAGATAAAAAACGTATTATATACGTTTGTCAAGTTAACACTAAACAACGTTTATTTATCTACTTATTTTCAACGTTTGTTATACCAGTTTCGTTATATTATGACATAAATAATACACGTAATCTTGATACGTAGAATATGCCTAATTTTTATTCGTATTTTGGAGGAAGTAAATATACCAATATTCTAGAATGGTATATCAAAGTGGTACCTATTATATACGTTTATCAAATTATTGCTAAAAGAACCTTTATTTATATACATATTATCAACGTAGAACGTGAACTTTATGGCTTTTATACGAAGAAAAATCGTATTTTACACGTAGAGTATAAAATAGGTCTACAAAAAACGTATCAATAACGAATTTATCCGTTCAAAACGCTTTAAAACCATTTATTAAACATAATTGTGTTGGTTGGGTACCTAAGCGCGGAAAAATTGCCTACTGCCTTACCTAAAAAAAGGTCGGAACGCGCAAAATACACTGATGGAATCTGTTTTCGTATTACATAGGGGTACAACGAAAATTTCGTTTTGACTTGTTATGTCGCCCTTAATAACAACTTTTCCAGGTGGATAAAGGTGCAACTAATGCTTGGTATAGGTGCGTAGGTTCTGCAAAAACAGCACGTCTGGCACCGCCAGGAAATCATAGGGGTAGCAACACTTACCTGTAGTCTCAATGTAAAGTAATGGTACCACCAAACGTTTTCTGGGCCGTTTGGTGCACATGCTTGTGTTTTTTTTTAAAAAAAGCACTTGGCAGGGAATAGCCAATGTTCTTATTTATTTTCTTTAACAATAAAATAACACAATTAGAGTTATATTGTTTATTGAAAAATGTAGAATGACTGACTATGATTTTAAAGGAAACAATGGCAGAGAAAAAATATTGAAACACAGTCAATCTTTACCGTGAAATGCTTTTCCATTTTCTAATGAGATTAAATCTCTTGGATAAGTTGGATTATTTCTGCATTCGAATAATCCATACCTATACGTAATTTCCATCATTTTTGAGTTTTATTATGTTAATTCAAGTTGAAATCTTATAAGTATTCTAACATATAATTATAATGGTGTAATAAATTTTTGGTTAAATGATCTTAAAAAATATAGGTACCGTTACCATTTGAGAATGATTTACTATACAAATAGAACATCCCGATGGTACTTTCATGATGATTTACTTTATATTCCTTTTATTCAGTGGAATATAGCACTAGATATGCATACGCGTTTAACACATTTACGCACCAATACTATCCTAAAATACAAAAAACTACAATTCATGCCCATAGTTGTCAAATAATGCGTAATAAAATGAATATGTAAAATCTTTTACGATATTTAAGACGCACTAGACGCCAACCTTACAACAAAAACCCCATAAAACTAAACATATTTTCACTTTTAAACCTAATGAAATACCCTACTCAGTGAGTGCCTTGGGTTAACTACACTTTACTTCGTAGAATATTTGGGAAAGATTCACTACCTAATTAAACTTATTGTCAAAAGTTCTTCAATTCAATTAATAGGATCTGACACTACTGCTAAATGCGTGGTTAAGAATACTTCTTGGACGAAATTGCATCCAAAATCCTTTGAAAGGTTTGCGCATTAATTCCAAACCAACTATTACTGCTTGAATCGGACCTTCCACTATCCGACCTTCCAAAGAAATCGTAGTAATAATCGTAGTCCGTCGTAATTACGTTAAATTTTGCGTAGTAAATCGCAGCTAGTGACGAATATATTAACAGCACCGCTGTGACTAACTGAAATGAAGGAAAAAGGTTTGCACAAAATACTGCTTTCAATTATCTAAACTAACCTGAAATACTGCCCAAAATTTGAATGAACCTTCGTTAATAATAAAATCGTAGTATCCTGCCCAAGCGTCGTTAGCAACGGCCTTTTGTTCCATTACTTCGTTCTTCATTTCTTTCATCTCGGGAACATTGTCTTCGTGATGGTCGTGATAATATTCATCTGCCATCATTCCTCTACCTTGCCTATACTGCAGTTCGTCATAGTCCTCTAATCCTTTCTCGTACCTAAACAAATAAGGTACACGTTCCAGTAATTCACATTAAGCTAAACTTACCTAGAGAGTGGAACTTCTGATGTCGGCTTTTGGGTAGTCGCAAATGGATAAACTGCAGTAGATATACTTTTCGATAACACTCCATTAATTAAATAGCACAGAACACAAAAGTAATAATGCATTTTTAATATCTTTCATAAACTCTCACTAATGTTCAATCACATTTCCCGCGTATTTACAATTTTTGCTCGTTTTTTACCCCCGGCTAAGTAAAAATTTCAGAGGGTAATTGAGTAAAACTCGCGTATCTAACTATTTTGCCATCTGAATGCCCAATAAAATCATCGACGACAACTAATTAACTGCCACTGTTCGCACGATTTTACTAAATATAAGTAACGGAATCATCAAATAGTAATTGTTTTTGTAAACTTTGCGAGTAATCATTTAAATACATAGGATATTGGTACGGTTAAATCATTTTTGTACAGGTGCTGCTGAGGGTACACTAACATAAACATCGCCTGATTGCGTAAATATGAACCAACGTGGGCAAACAGCCTCAAAATTCGATTTATGCCCAATGCAACAAATTCAGACCTTACTTCCTCAAAGAGTGACGTACAATGCGCAATAGCTGAAATAATTTTACTAATTTGAAATATTTATATATTTATTTTTTTCTACATATACTTATTTCTACTTTCTTCAATAGCAGTGATTACAGTTTGATTTAAAATATTAAATTCCCGCGCAGATCTACCCTTATCAAAATTGTGAGAGAATTGAATTTTATGTCGAGCGATTGATTTAAAAATGAGTACGGTAACGTAAACAATAAAATAGACGCTAAAATATAGGGGAATGTACCACAACTTTCTCCCCAAATAATAGTAACTGTAATGACCAGCTCCGGCCCTTGGAGCTTCCGTTGTTGTCGGTGCGTGGGTGGTTGTTGCGTGAACTTCGTGGTACACTTCGTGGTGACTGTGATGAAAATCGTAGGGATTATGGTCTAAGTATTCTGGAAATTTGGCGTAAGGTATGTCAGCTGGGGGTGGTGAGAGTTCACCTTCTGCCATCTGCATGGACATCACGGTTGGAGTATGTGAAGGCTTTGCATTTTGTTTCATTGGATTATATTCTTGTATATACGGATGTTGAGGCTGAGGTGGGGTATCCATAGAGTCAGGAGGGTTTAAATACGAATCATCGGGATTGGGAGGTGTGTTGATAGCTAATGGTGGATAGAGGTTATCGTCAGTGACGGCATCTGGTGGTAGGTAAGTATCGGTATTTTGTAGAGATGATACGACGGGAGCCTTTGGCACTCCGTATGATGTTGCTGGAGGTGATGGAGGCTTCGGTTTTTTATTCGCTGTTAATGGCGGTTTTTCGTTAGTAGGTGGGAAATTAAACACATCTACTGTGCCGTTTAAATTACTTAGCTGTGACTGAGGAGGATTGTATGAGGTAAAAGGAGATAAGTACGAATCGCTAGGGCGTTGAGCTTGGGTAGGTGAGTCGTATATAAAGCTGGGGATTTTAGAGTTGATGTTTGTCTCCTTAGCTTTTGTTGCAACTGGTCGAGGTCGATTCGGACGCGGGGGATCTTTGAACACAAAATCAAAATATGGGGCAGGATTAAATCTGTCTTGAACTTCGCCTTTGGCCGGAACCGTATCTGTATCTCCATTGTCGAATTTTGAAAATTTCGTGCTGTAATATTCTGGTTTTAGTCTTCTTTTGTTACTTTCTGTTACACTGAAAGTATTAAATTATCATTTTATAAGGGACGTAAGGTACGTACTTGGTGGTCCACCGTTGTCTATTACTTCTAGGTTCATTTTCGTTAATGATTGAACTGCCGGCACCCCAACGAGAAACTTTTGAGTAGGTAGGTGTTAATCCGGCGGATGTTAAACTCACATTTTGCATGAACTTTAAAGCGAACAACGAACAAATTAAAACCTTCCATGGTACTTCGATTGTCCACATTGCTTAGATACAAGTACTCACACCAATGATCGTTTGGAACGATTAATACTAATTCATTAAAATGTTACCTGTAACCCAAATTCTCTGTTTATTTAAGAAGGCGATAATTAATGAAGACGCTTGCTACAGTTACTTAATTTTTTACATGTTTTACCTAGATACCGTTCATTTCTGTTATGTACATAAGTGAAATAGTATACTCTCATTTATTTTTATAAATTAATAGTTGAATGTTGACTATTTTTATATTCAATAGCAATACAGTTGATGTCAATATTATACAATTACCTTTCTAGAACTAACTTTGTTAAACGGTTAGCTGTACCTTAATTACCCATATTACCAATACAAAAGCAATGTGCTAATGGTCGAGATTTATTTGTCTGATTGTCGGTATCTGCCTCAATTGATGCGCAACTTTTATATTCCTCTTTGGGTATATATGTACTTCTCTATAATAGTACACAAAACCTCTGCTTACTCTCTTTCATCGTGATGCCAAATGCTGCAAAGTATCATATAAGCCTATACATAAGAACCCATTAACTTTTTACCAAAATCCCGGAAAATTCCCCTAGAATTTCTTACCTGGAACTTGGAGTCACTAGCCGAATCATTCTATTCATGCTCGTGGACTGTAAAAACAGGTACAGAAACATTCCCAGTTCCCTGACCAGCTTCAAATTTCCTGTATGGATGAACTTTCGAAAAACATAATGAAAATGTAAGGGTAACTTCAAATAGACATGAGGTAAATAATGAAGTTCAAGGAAACTCGAGGAATTCACCCAGTTTTTGAAATCGAATTGAACAGGTTTACCAAGAGCGTTGTAGCCAAAGCGCTAGCATGTTCTGGTCAATGGAAAAATGCTAGTTTTTATCTCTGAAAATATATCTACTTTCAATTCGACTTTCACAGTGCAAGGTTGTAAATCGAGTGCTGAGTGCGACACAAACGATATCATTATCCCTGACCGGCAGGTCAGTGATATTATTTTGATTCATATTTACATTGCACATTTACCTGCGTAATAATTAACCACTTCACATCCAAAATGGCACTCAACCAGCCAACGAATTATCATATGGGACAAACCCAACCACAACAGCGACCGCACCAATCAATGTACAATATGACACAACAATTTTATCCCATACAAAACCAACTATCACAAATCCCAGCATATGCATATTCCCAACCGGCGACAAACTATCAACCAACAAGACAGCCCCCTTTGTTTATGGAGCAATCAAACTTCAATCCGCAACAAAACGAATGGCAAACAGTAAATAACAAAAAAAGAAATCGAAGCCCTGAAAAAACTCAACAAGTTACCAAAAAGAACCAATACTGGCTTGGAGATGCAATTACAACTAATAACAGATTCGACTCTTTAAGTACCGAAATGGATGATGTAGATTTAACACAAGAACGAAGCGAAAATACTCCCAAACTCCCGCAACCTCCACCAATTTTCATAGCAGAAGTCAAAAACATACAACCCCTAGTAACACTGCTAAACGAGATAGCCAGCGACAGCTATACTCTAAAAGCATTAGGTAGCGAACAAGTTAAGATACAAAGTAAAACAAGCGAAGTTTACTCTACCATCATTAAAAAACTCGTCGAAAAAGAAACACAATTCCACACGTACAAACCGAAAAAAGACCGAAACTTTAGAGTAGTCATAAAGAATATTCATCACTCAACAGACGTGACTGACATTGAGGCTGGTTTAACAGCGCTTGGGCATACTGTAGTTAATATATGGAATATCAAACAAGGAACATCCAAAAAACCCCTACCTATGTTCGTAGTAGAGTTAAAGCAACAAGATAACAACAAAGAAATTTATAACACAAAAATATTACTAAATACAAGTGTCGTTGTAGAACCCCCGCACGTCAAAAGAATAATTCCACAATGTCTAAAATGCCAGCGCTTTGGGCACACCAAGAATTATTGCCAACATAACTCCAGATGCGTTAAATGTACGCAAGTCCATTCCACAGGAGAGTGTCCGAGAACAATTAAAGACGATAAAGTTCGGTGTGTTAACTGTCATGGCAACCACCCAGCCAACTACCGTGGCTGCCTAGTCCACAAACAATTGCAAGAAAGACTATACCCAAGATTAAGAAAAGATGACAAAAATCTTTACAAAAGACCTTACCTACATTCCGAAACAACGCCAGGGATATCATACGCAGACAAAGCAAAAAATCAAGACCTATCCATGCCCTTCACTACTACAGAAAACATACCGCAATATCAAGCGATCCAACCAAACCAACAAGCCAGTGGCATTGAAGAACTACAGAACATGATGAAAAATCTCATTACACAAATAGGGACTATCATGAACCTTCTCACAACACTAATCACTAAATTAACATAATGGCTCAATTACTAAAAATAGTAGCTTGGAACGCCAACGGGCTAGGCCAACGTGCCCAGGAAGTCAAAATATTTCTTGAAATTCATGCAGTCGATATACTCCTGATTTCTGAAACGCATTTTACCGCCAGGAGCTACATTAAATTTCCACACTACACTGTTTACTCAACAAATCACCCCGATGGTTCAGCCCATGGAGGAACCGCAGTAATTATCCGTAATCGCATTAAACATCACGAACTTGCAAAATATCAAGAAAATCATATCCAAGCTACCAACGTCTCCATTGAAATTGAAAACATCCCAGCCATAATCTCAGCAGTATACTGTCCACCGAAACACCTAATCACTCCAGCAGCTTACACACATTTCTTCAAGACGCTAGGCAATAGGTTCATTGCAGTAGGAGACTACAATGCAAAACACGAACATTGGGGTTCCCGCCTAACAAGAACAGACGGACGTCGATTAATGACTGCCGTACAAACTAACAACCTTACCTGGTTATCCACGGGGGAGCCAACATACTGGCCCACTGACCGCCGAAAGAAACCAGATCTTCTTGACTTTGGTATTGTTAAGGGCATAAACATCCGGCAGTGTACCGTTTCATCCTGCTTTGACTTAGCAGCTGACCATTCGGCCATTATAGTAACTGTAAACTCACACATAACTCAGGTTAAAACTCAACCTGCAATTTATAGTAGACGAACTGATTGGGAATACTTTCGCCAAAGACTTGAATACCAATTAGATCTTCAGGTCCCACTAAAAGATGAGTACGACATTGAGAGAGCAGTAACCTCACTTACAGAACTCATCCAAAACGTAGCATGGGAAGCTACTCCTAAATTGCCCATCCCTCAACAAACTAACAATACACCTACCACAATAAAGGACAAAATAGCCGAAAAACGCCGACTCAG